TGTATTCATAATAACATCTAATTTGGACTCAAGAGACTCAACCATACTAACATCTTTACCTTCAATCATCTTAAAAGAAAAAAAGAGAATTTCTAAACAATACTAATTTAGAGGAGGGTACTCTATAACCTCTAAAGCGCTTAGATGCCTTCAAGCAGATGAATAGTCTATTCTTTATCAAGAATGATAAATTCTAATATTAATAAGAAGAAAATTTCTACAAACTATCACAAATAAATTATATGAGAGTCCAAATAAGAAGTTGAACAAAAGAATTTTAACAAGAAATCTAATAAGCACTTAACTAAGCCAAATAAATATAAAATTAATACCAAAAAAGACGAACTAAAGCTTTAATAGATATGTTGTCAAGATTGAAGAACTTTTTAGCCTTGATTCTAATATATATTGGATATTAAGAAAATTCTTAAAAATATATATATATATATATATATATATATATATATATATATATATATATTGCTTGAAAATGAAGCAATCTTAAGAAACTTTTTGAGAAGTTTTTATGTTGCTTGAAGATGAAGCAATCATAGGAAACTTCTCAAATAACTTCTTTAATCTCTTTAGTATTTTCTAAAAGCTATTAGAATATTTTTTAAATCATTTGTAAATCTTTTAAAATTTTATAGAATATTCTAAAAATATTCCTAAAATCTTCTTATTGGATATCCATAAGACATTTCAATTAATAATTGTTAAATGATTTTAAAATAACACCTTAAAAAATATTTCTAGCAAAGAGAGAAGAGACCTTATGATGCGCAACAATTGTTTGAAGTGGCAGAAGAAGAGTGGAACTTCATTGATGAGGGCACTATAAATAAATTGATAGATGAGATGACCAGAATATTACAGGCACTTCTTAATGCAGATAGAGTTTATACTTAGTAGTAATATAGCTTAGATAGTACTCTTGTAGTCTTGTAAATTTTGTGAATTCATGAGCTTATATATAATTGTGAGCTTTACAAAAGTAAACTTATTTTTTATTACTAAAAATAGAAAGATTTATTATACATGATTATAAAAAGTACTATTTTACTTATGAAATATAAATATAGTTGACAATATGATCTAAGATTAGTAACAATAACAAGAAAAATTATAATGAAGTACAACAAATAATTTATTATATAATTTCTTTTTTTATATAATATCATAAATAATGAAAAAAAATTTATGAATAAAAATCAAATACTAATTAAATTCATTACATTTATGAGTAAGTAAGTTAGTAATAACTTATGAAGACAGTGAAATAAGTAAGATCATGCATAATAAATAGAGCACAATTATAAAGCTATAACTTACTCTAATCTTAAGTTATTATCAACAAGAATAGATAATAATCTATCAATTCTATCAAAAGTATTTTAATATGATATAATATTGGTAAGTTTTTTTTTAATTATACTAAATTATTATAAAAGATACATAGCTTAAATAATATTTTCTAGAAGTAAAATAATCAAGACTATACTCACAACTTTTAAGAGAATTGTCTTACAATGTTTTGCGCCACTATTATCTTTGTTAATTAGAATATAATTACTAATTAATTTAAATTTTTTATTTTTAGGATATTATGAAGAAATAAAAATTTAAAAATCATAATAAAAATATAATTAAATAATTAAAAGCATACTTTTTAAGATGCACCACATAAAACTATTTAAGCTCTAAATAGTATTATTATTAGAGCCACCATATAAATTGGGATTGTATTTATGATTGTGATATATAAAATATAAAAACCATAATACAAATGATGGAATTACATAAATGGATGTCAATAAAAATAAATGTAGTATTATTTCTTACTATGATAAAAGGAACAACATTGTGTAATTGAAGAAGCAATAATGTTGTGAAAACAAATATCTTTGAAAAACACAAAATCATTGATTACACCTTCTATCTTCTATAAAAATAGATAAAAATAGAAAAAATATTAAATTTATTATAATAATTGAAATAAAATTTGATTATAAGAACATCAAAATTAAACCAAAATTATTAATTTTTTAACATACTAAATTCTTTATATTACCTCCTAATAAATATGAATAATCATTTAAATAAATCATATTTATATAATTTATATAAATTAATTTTGAAATTTCTTTCAAATGTAAATAAAAAATTCATTCTAATTTTTATTAATACGTTTGATTTACACCCAAATACCTTCTAAGATAAATTTTATGAGTACAATGAAACTTCAAGATTCTATTAGTATACTTCTTTGATTATAGTGTTTATATATATATAGTTGTTTCTTATGTACTTCTAGCCAATTGATTTATAATTTCGTATTTTTATTATAATTTATTTTTAATTATTGATCTCTTAACTTCTTTTATATCTTTACTTATTTTTGATATTTTCTTGAATAGAGTAATTAAAAATAAATTGCCACCTTTGTATCATTTTGGTTTGAGTATCAAATAATTTTTATAAACCTTCTTATTATATATAAAGTTTTAAAGACTATATCCTTTTTATTCATTTCATAGAATTATTGACTTGCATTTGTCTTTCTTTTGCTGCAATTCTTATGCATTGTTTTTAGTTGCCTCTTCCACTCTAATATTGCAATTCTCTTCAATTTAATTCTTTACCTCTTCTAATATTACCAGATTTATTTTTAAATTTTAATTAATGTATTTCTATCTCTCATATTAATATTATACTCTACATACACATTTATATGTCCAAAAACAAAAGAAAACAAAAAAATATATACATGTACATTATAATGCAAATTTATTTCAAAAAATTATATTTTTATTTCTCAATATATATAGGAGAATGATAAAGCAACCCAAATTTTTACTTAAGTGATTCACTATATCTTAACCATCATTGCACCCTTGTAGCCTCTATCCTTGTTCTCAACCGTTCTCTATTCCTAACGATTGCTAAAGACGGGGGTAGAGGAGCTTAGAACATTGAAAATGAGGACAATGGTTGGAAATAGGGGAACGGCTAGAAATGGACACAGGATTGAAAGGGCACAGTGATGGTTTAAACATATGGATTGATTTAGTAAAAATTTGGATTGCTTTATCATTTCCTTATATATATATATATATATATATATATATATATATTTAATGCAACTTTTATCTTATTCTACTTACAATTTTTAAAAAACAATTACAGACATTATTAATACCTTATATAATTTTTTTTTAAAATTTATTGATGCTTTGATAAAATATTGTAGTTTATTTAGAATTTATTATTTTAATAAGATATCTAAAAATATTATATTTATAATATTTTTATAAGAACTTTTGTCTTACTACCATCTCTAAACTAATTTTCAAAGTATTTTTTCTAATATTATTTTTTAAAACTCGTTTCTATTTTCATTTTGTACTATCTTTCATTAATCTAGTTTTATCGATTTTTTTTTAGTATTGCTATTCTAACAGAAAACAATCTTTGCATAACTAATTTATATCACACCTAAAATTATAAACAATATTTTCAAAAGTATATTTTTAATAATACCACTTATCAATTTAAAAATATTCACCCCTTCAAACCTTCACATCTTCTAATAAGTGCCAACATCTTAGTCTTCATCACTCTCATTAAAAGAATTATATTTCAATTTAACTAAAATTTTAAGTTACATTTCTTAATTTAATTTTAGAATTTGAGAAGCTTCAAAATCTATAAAAATATATATATATATATATATATATATATACGTGTTTTATTTTAATTATTTTTATGTATGTCTATTAATATAATTACTGTTACTAAAATAAATTAGCTCAACTCCTTCAATGATTCAAAGAAATATGTCAATTTCTAAACAAGAATTGATGGATTATAATAAGAAATTTCAACAAATGCCATAAAGATATGCAACACACATCCATCCTTACCTTATCTTCTTAATCTATATCTTAATAGTTTTTAAGGTGTAGAAGATTTTACAAATGGCTACAAGAATTGCTTTTATAAATTTATTTATTAAGTATTGTTATCTTGAATAAAATTTTGCTTTATTTGGTAGTTACAATGAATATATTTTTAAGTGTAACTAATATTTGCATTTCTTTTCAAATGGAATACAGTATATGTATACATATATATATATACACACACTTCACATTTTAATCTGTTAAAGATTGTTTTGTGATTCAAACATTAACCATTGTCTTAAAATTTAATTGTTTTGTTGTTGCATTTAATTTGTGGAAGATCTAACATACTTCTAACCATAACAGTAACTCAATCATCAAAAGATTGTGTTTCTATTTAATTTTTAGTATTACTTTACATTTATTAGTCTAAAACACAATTTTTGTGGACACTATAACCACGTATTTATTTATTTATTTCAGTAACTTGGAAATGCTTGGGTATGCTGTTGCTGGTACCTACATTTTTCTTCTCAAAGTTTTCAAACTTCCCTCATCAAGGTGCAGAATTGAAACCCCATTTTAAAACAAAATTCAACCCTCCTTTTACTCCATAAAACAAATATAAACTTTAGTTCTTCAACCCAAACCACAATTACTATGAAAAATAAAAAATAAAAAATAGACTAAGTTCACTGTTCATTTTATTAACATTAATGTTATTGAATAAAGAATTGTAATAATGTGATCTACTTTTATTTATTTATTTACTTATGTTTATTTCACTTTAAAAAAAATCAGTATTTCAAAAACCCCATGTAAAGCATGAAAGTCACTTCAAAGTTGCAGTTGCCACATAGGACTGCAAATCATCATGAGTCATCCATTTTGGGTTTTTTGTCACAGCTCAATTTTTTGTCTACAATTCAAAAATTTGAAAGAACAACAACAAAAACAACAACATTTACCAATTCATACAAATCTTTTTTTATTTCTCTGAGCAAAGATTTAGGTTTTATGAGTGGTGGTCAGGTGGCAGACGGTGTGACGTTGACCTATTTCTTAATATAAAAACAGTAGTCGTCTAGATGCGTCCAAGAGTAGCGGGTTCTGAATGCCCTAAATCCTAATTCTCCTTAAACCCTAATTCTCGAAGCTCTAGCGCAAGGACTTTGCTGTCTTCACCTACAGAGGGTGTGTGCTCATCTTCGCTTGCGTGATTGCTTTTGAAGCTCTCGCGCAATCGCAGGCTCTGGGATTGTGGAGAGTCGGAAGGGTTTTCTGGGTTTGTGTTAGATTGTGGCAGCAGCATGATTGCCGCCGTGTGTTGGGTGCCGAAAGGGGCAGCAAAAAATGTGCCTGTGGTAGCCGAGCCGCCGACGGAGGAGCAGCTGCGGGAGCTTTTACAGCAGCATGAGGATCTTCGCGAGGCGAGCGAAGGAGAAGGGGACGAAGAGGATGAGGAATTGGATGCAGACGAGATGGAGGACGCTGGGGCTGGTTCTGGCGGTTCCGCTGCTGTTTCGACTGCTTTAGCTGCTGCTTCGGCACTTGGAGCGACGACGTCTCAGCCCAATGGGCACAAGTCTCATGAGGAGATGCTCGCTGATGGTTTGGCGGAGCTTGACATGGACCATTACGACGAAGAAGATGAAGGAGTCGAGATTTTTGGAAATGGTGGTTTGGGGGCAGCTTATTATCCTAGCAATGAAGACGACCCTTACCTTGTCGATAAAAATGACGATGAGGATGAGGAAATTGAGGACATGACTATTAAGGATTCGGATTTGATCATCCTGACTGCTCGAAACGAAGACGACGTGAGTCACCTCGAGTATTGGGTTTACGAAACTGAAGACACTATAAGTGAGGATCCTGACGAGGAGACGAATATGTACGTTCACCATGACATCATGTTGCCAGCTTTTCCTTTGTGCCTTTCATGGCTAGATTGTAATCCTAAAGGCGAAGGAAAGGGAAACTATGTTGCGGTAGGGACGATGCAACCCGAAATCGAAATTTGGGATTTGGATGTGGTGGATTCGGTGGAACCTGTGAGTGTGTTAGGTGGAGCAATTCAGTCTGTACCTGAGCAAGGGTCTACAGAGAAGAAGAACAAGAAGAAGTCGAAGAAGAAGGCTGCAGCGAAACAAGTGCAGTACAAAGAGGGCAGTCATACGGATGCAGTGTTAGGTCTATCTTGGAATTCTGTATTTCGAAACGTTATCGCAAGTGCAAGTGCAGATAAGTCTGTCAAAATCTGGGACGTGGTGAAGGGAGCATGCGAGCACACCATGAATATTCACACAGATAAAGTTCAAGCCGTAGCATGGAACTTGAAGGAGCCTACAGTCCTTCTTAGTGGGTCCTTTGATCGGACAGTGGCCCTGACAGATATGAGAGCTCCTCAAGCGGCCGCCATCCGCTGGTCTGTCTCTGCCGATGTAGAATATCTAGCCTGGGATCCGCACACGCCACACACATTTATAGTGAGTTTAGAAGATGGAACTGTTGGAGGATATGATGTGCGCACAGGGACAACAGATCCTCAGCAAGGGAAAGCTTTGTTCACCATTCATGCACATGACAAGGCTGCTTGCTGTTTGGCATACAACACTGCTGCACCCAACCTTCTGGCTACGGTATCCACTGATAAGATGGTGAAGTTGTGGGACTTGACAGACAATCAACCAGCTTGCATTGCGTCCACCAACCCGAAGGTTGGTGCTGTCTTTGCGGCAAGTTTTTGCAAGGATGCTCCATTTTTGCTTGCTGTTGGTGGATCAAAGGGTAATTTGCATGTGTGGGATACGTTAGCAATTGGAGAGGTCTCGAGAAGATTTGGGAAGTTTTCTCCCAGACCAAGGAGGATATCCACTAACGTTGAGGCTTAATTGGAGCTGAGGAGATGTCCAAGTGCAATCGCTATCTGCTACTCTAAAGATCGCTGATTCCGGGTAAAGTATGTAGTATCTTAAGGGCTGGTAATAGCTTCCTCCCTCATTTTCTGTGTCTGTACACGGATTTTTAGAACAGGTACCAACTGGCCAACAGCTTGTGCTTCAGGAAGAGGTTGATTTATCTGCTGGTTATTTGGTGCGGTGCACTCAAGGAGTGTATCTTCTTAGGCCATACTTCACAGGACATTCTATAATTGTATCCTGTATTCATTTAGAGTTGTTTGATCGGAGTTTTTTCCACGTGCTTGGCTCACTGTATATTGACGAGAAATGTTGCACCCATGAAATATTTCCTGAGGGTATATGAAGCATGTATTCTTTAGGCATTATATGTTTTTGGCTCATTAATTCTTGATATAAATCCTGGAGTGTTTTCTGTTCAGGGGTTGAATATCCTTAGTATTGTCTTTTATTTATCTGTTGTGGGGCTCAAGTACAAAAGCACAATCGCCATGTTTCTCCATAGTCCGAGTCAGTCTATGAACGTTAACAAAATGTGGTAGGAATATGCTATGTGTTACCCACAAAAATTCAATATATTTAATCTTAGAATATTTACGTATGTCAAGATGGTGTACTACTTAGATGAAAAACTAATATTGTATAAAGGACTGAATATAGTAGCAAATTATGTGGAATACCAACGAATTGAAGAAAAAAAAAAAAAATCTTAATATTTGGATACGACTTAATGCACATATTTTTATTGCCCAATTAAATTCAAGTATTTCAAACGAAAATATTAAATCTGTTAGTATTATTATCAATATGAAACATCAATATAATTGTTTACTGCAACAAAAAGTCAATCAAACTTGAAACCATTTTCCCTTCTAGTAGATGATGTATGAAACAACCTACAATTGTAGAGCATATTGGTTCTTTTCACATTGTACGTATTTTTATTTTCATACATTTTTAATACCTAATGTGCAAGAATTTCAATATTTTAAGCTAATTAGGTTGCAATGCCTTCACAACTCTATTTGCTTGGTTTTTTTTCAAGAAGTGGCTTTTTTGAAGTACGTTTAGGCAGACCTTGAATATATGTTGCACGAATGAAGACATGTTACCTCAGCTTTCAAGTTCAACCTCATTTCTAGTGATATCAGTTTTTGAAACGACCATGTTTATGACTTTCTTGTCTTTGCATTTATCTGGCCTGTTCACGATCGCAGGGGTACACTTTGGGCAACACAGTCTTCGTTCTAGTGATTGATTTCTTAAGTTCTTGGATCATCTCATCTTGCTTGGTAATTTTCTGCACACGTCGATAATGCTCATTAATTCCATTAGAACAAAATGTAGAAATTTAGAATGGGCAGATTTTGCGTTTGGAAGTCGATCCTTTCAGTTGAGCAGATAGAACATCAGAATACATGAACGTAGTAAATATTGAGTTGCACATGGATGTTGCAGGTTGTGACCTTTGCATGACATAGAAAAGTCAAGTTAGGATACATAATGAATCCTTGATGTCAACACATCAGTTGTTTTGAAACAGATTCTACTTACAATGGAGAGAATGTTCTGGTCAGATTCGGCCTTTTGCTTTTCTAGAAGAGAGTCCGTGTAGGTGGTTGCTGCCCTGCACGTCATGTCCTGTGGATATATAATAATGTAACCAGTTACTCTCTGGAGATAGGCAATCATCTAATGCCATTCTACAGATCACAAGCTGACCTAAAGTTGATATTTAGTCAAAGATGCTGATACTTGAGACAAAATCTTTAGATTAAGATGGTAGGAAGTGGTCTCAACATGCTGTATTTGATGCAAAGTGCGAATTTCATATTCAACGACCGAATAAACTCACAAAATGAATTGATTGCATCTGTTCTTTGAGGTCAGCAACAATGTGAAGGATTGCAGCGTTCTCCTTCGTCAGACCTGGTGGAAGATCAATTGCCATGTGAAGTCAGTATTTAAGCTGTGTGATACTTCAGTAACAGAGCTGTTTTAGGAACATACAGCTAATTTTACAAAAGTCACAACATACTTCGCAATTGGTCCGTGGCTCTTTCTATCCTCCGGTGCCACACTGACAGCTCACGTATGAGCCCGACCTCCTGGTTCCGCAATTTATCTCTCAGGAATTGCAGATCTTTCTTGATCATGATAATATTCAACGTTTCGTCCACAAGAGTCTTCACATACAACCCCATATCTTGATGAGGAACATGTGCAAACAAATTATGTCTGCTCTATTGATTATTGTTTGCGTATCGAATTCCCCACTTATTACTGATTTGATTCTAAGGAGCTTCGAAGGTACAAGTTAAAGTCGGATGGAAATAGAATAGTGTAACGGGCACCTCGCCAAACTTCAACATTTGGCTTTCCACGTATTTTGCCTCGGTCTGTTTCGTTTTCTTCTCTTGAGCCCGTCTCTCTCTTTGCAGGTCGGCATGCATCTTTTTCAACTCTTTGTGCAGCTTCTTCAAAGACTTCTTCCTCTCGCCATGCGCGCGAAGTCTGTCAATCAATCCTTGTTCTTCTTTCAACGCAAATACAAGGGCTCTAGAGAGATCTTCAGGCAATCTACCATTCTCCATATACTCAACCTGCAGTCGCTCAGTAGGACAAGAAGGCGATGTGTGGATATATAATCAAGTGCGAACACATCATTCATACAGTTTTGTGAAAATGTCTTGTGGAATTTAATGTCGACGCAGAAGAGAAATTTAACCTGGTTCATTTTTAGCGTAAGCCCAACTTCCACATTGTTCAGTGACGTTTGTTTTAGAGTCTGAAATTTCACGATTTCTGACTCAATGCCATTGAGCTGGCTCGCTACTGCCTTCTTTTTCTTTATAATTTGTCCTTTTTCCTTCAACAAAGCTGCAAAATAACCAAAAACGGGGGCTGTAGCGACAATTCCTCTAATCATTGATTTCAAATGCTACACATTTCGATATTTCAAGTGAATCTTAGAAAAAGGATGCATGCTGACCAGCTATTAAATCATTGACCTAAACATTATATCACAGAATGAACGGATCACAAATCCATTCATAACAAAGGTCTTCATAAGTGTTGCAAAGAAAAATACAAATATTAAGAGAGAGAAAGTTCTGTTATTACCATCAACAATCTTGCCCTGGTCAATAATCGCATAATCGAGAAAACAACGTCTATCTCGCATAGCAACCATCCTCTTGTATAGCGCAGGGTCCCCATTCCCAGGACACAGCTCTACGAACTACATCATAATCCAGAGAATGGCCAATTGATGAAATCGGTGATGAAACAGAAAAAGAGGGACACTACTCATTCCAGACATCAGAAGCGCTGTGTGGGACCATACAAACATAATGCCACCAGTCCAAATACAGGCTAAAACAAATGTGTTGAATTCAAAGTAATCTTTACATGAAATAGAAGATACATTTAAAAATAATAAGTAGACGTACATCCTCATCCTCGTATTCCTCTTCGTCGTCGTCAGCTACTTCGTCCAGATCTGATTCTTCAGTCTCATCGTCAGGGTTTTCCTTGGGTTTCTTGGGCCGTCGCATTTTTTTAATGTACATTCGGTGAAGTTCACCGTGAGCTGGGTTAAGATCCGGAGGTGGGTTTGTTTGCATCCACATCGCAAAGAGCTGCTCAGAATATGTCCACATGCCAGTTAGTCAACTTTCGTAAGACACTCTACAAAAGAATCACAAAATGAGCATCACTGTATAAATAAACTGAGATTGTATGGAATTTCCTTCTAAAAGTTAACCGGACTAAAAGGATAATTTTAAAACTAAACCAAGAGGTAAAAGATAAGAAAATAAGAAAATAAAATAAGAAAACTTCCCATCGCTGCTGAAAGACGATTATGAATAGATTTTGTAACAAGCTTTACAGGACATGTTAAGTCACGAATATTATAACCACCTTATCCCTTTGCTCTGTAAGTTCTTGAACCTCTTCTTGAGCAGCATCCACCACCAAATCGTGTTCGGCCAGTTTTACCTATCAGCCGCATCAGCAAGACTGCGTAAGCATTGTCCATAGATACTAAATATTGACATCTTTAAGAATTGATCTCCCAGTCAAGGTCTTGCTCTCTCAATCCATGAAAGACCTTACTACTTATTTCCGTTTACGTTAAGCACAGTCGAAGCAGACAGAAATATTGTAACTCGAAAGGACTACTGCCTTTACTTAGATTTTTCAGTCGTTTTGTGCCTTGTACGATGCTCTTACCACAATATCAGCATCCTCTGCAAGTTTCGCCTGGCAACGCATGTCTAAAGCGTCCTCGTGGGTTTGCAGTTTCCGGAGAATTTTTAACTCCTGTGTCGCAGAATAATTTTGAACCAATAATACAGATTGCTTAAGTTTTGATCCAACAAATGAAAGTATCACATTATATAATGAAGCTAAAGCTGACTTCAAACTACCTTGTGAAAACTTACCTTCACAGTACTCTTAAAATGAAAAAGCTCCTGTTGATAATTAGCTCTATGAAATACTTAGAGATTAATATCTAGCCGACGATTGACACTGAGAATGGTTTTACAACTAACCAATCTGGATGAGAAAAGATGTCAAGGAAAAGGTAGTACAATCACCGCTGCAGAAAGCCTAAACATTTGAATACATGAATAAAAAGAGCATAACAAATATAAAACAAAAATCGAAGCTGATCAAAGAGTTTTCAGATTGAATTAACGCACACCTCATACATGACAAGCGCTTTTAAATCAGCGCACTTCATGTTGACCTCAAGACGATATTTTTCCTGCCGCAGCCTCTCTAATTCATCATCAAATTCGGTAATGATTTTTCTCATCTCTGATTCCAACTTTGATTTTTCATGTCGGAGCCTTATGTGATTTGCCTCCTTTTCACTTTCCTGTAAGAGATTATCACAACTGAAAAATTCCTGATTAATAAATTCATGGACTGAAAAGGACGGAGGAATATATCTCTATTACCTCCAATGGAGATAGAATTATCTTCGGTGGTTCTGCTTTCCTTCTGAGTTTGCCTTTCGGTTTCGTTTGAGATTTGGGATCCAGTCTCTGCGTCCCAACAACGGGATCTGGTTTTGGGTCTTCGGCCGTTTTCTTGGGACCAGCTGTCATAACGCCTAAGCCACCGCCTTCTTTGCTCTGCCATGAGCTGACATTGACACTAAGTAAGGAAACCTCCATCACTCGATGTACACTAAAATATCATTTCCAATCTCACCAAAAGTTGCAGATTGTAATTCTGATGAGCACAGCACACGCTTTGAAAATGGATTGATTGGCAGGATCTTTAAAAGTAATCGAGGGATGGGAAGCAGTGACCGATCAATTGCTAGAATTGGTTAGAAAGTAGGGAATGCAACCATGACACGTTTCGCTTAAGGATTTTTTTTCAATAAATTTACAAAGTTAAATACCTTGCCTTCTGCTGCTAATGCGGCTGCAGTCGCAGCAGCTATTTTTGCTTCGTGTGCATCTCGGTCCTGCAAAAAGAATGTGCGTATCTTAATGCAAAGCATGGGCAGATAAACCACTCAAACAGGCAAGTTTAAAATCTTTTTTAAGTTCTTTGATGGCTGGCCAGCTATGTTTTGCATTTCACATTGAAATAATGATGCCAGAGCAAAGTTAGTCGGTTGGACACCACAATGAGGCACTTGATTATAGTGCCATTAGAGCAATTGATAGCGTAATCAGATTAATCATCACATTCTCAGAAGTCTTCTTTAGACAACTTAGGAACTCACTTCTTGTTTGACGATTTCTCGTACTTCTGGCTGCTCTTCTCTTTTGAAATCAGGTACAGGAACAAGAGGATCTTTTGAACTGTGCAATAGAAATTTCAGCTCCAATAATTTCAGGTCAGAGTTTCTCACAGCAAACCGTAGGACCATTACCAATCCTTGGAATAGTAAATATCTTTCATATTTGCAATTAAGTAAAATGTTTACTAGTGAAGTAACACTTAGAACATTTCTTCTTGTTTAAGGAATGAAGGAAGCGATTGTGTGGACCTACTCAAGTAATTTGTTAATCTCCATAACGCGGTTCTGCTTCAGTAGCAAAACTACCCGAAGTTCCTTCTTTTTTTGACGAAGAACAAAGAACTGATTATTGAAATTCATCTTAACACCATGAACAGCTTCTTGAAAGAGTACAATTTCATTTCGTTTCAATTTCTCGTTTGTGTACTGATCATCTGGAACCACGTATCCTGGATTCGTCTTCAACTTGAAATCACCTTTGCTATTAACTGCCCGATCAAGTGCCTCAACATCTTCATCAGCAACCCAAGTCTAATAATAAAAAAAAGAAGATTGTGTGTTCATCATTTCTACAAAACCGAATCATAATCTCAGTACTCAACAAGTAATAGTCAATGTAGAGGCGAGGGGAGAAAATTATTTGCAAGTATTCAAAACAAATAAGGATGCAGCGCTAGATAATGATTTCTGCAATTACATACATTTGGTTGTATGTAGTCTACGAGTTGCAGAAGGTCTAACAGAAAGTGAGGAGACATCGATACCATACTAATAGAATGTGCACAAATTATTACGGGAAAACAGAAGCATAATATTTACACAAAAGACATGGTATAGGTAATTTCTTAGAGCTGGCGAACCCACCAAGTCAGGTTTTGTCTTAAGAAAATCATCCCACTCTCTTATTCGTTGTTTCAACAAACGCCGCCTGTATTCCAGCTTGGTAATACCCGGTTCATCTGCACTTTCCTCGTCCCTCTTCTTTTTCTTCTTCTGCACTTTCGAATTGTAATTCCAAAGACATGAGTGAATTCAGGCTAAAACTTTTATCTCAACGAACAAAATTCAACTGTTTTAAACTGTTACGATTCTGCTGCATTGTGTTTAGATACAGGGATTACAGATATAAGTAATTCTTTAAAATTTCGAGCTATTCAACTCAAAAAGGCATTCTTGAAGTAAATACACTATGAATACAGTATCGTCATTATTTGTAAAGTTGGTACCATAAGATTTAAAGTTTTCTCTACTTTAAGCCTCAGACGTCCATGTAGGACGGCAGGACAGTAAGACACAGCGTTGAGAATTAGTAGGAGGATTATTGAATTATCATTACTGCAATATTGCATCTCTCATTTATGTCTCAAAGGTAGTGAGAGATCAAGAACTCAAGAATACCAGCGCATCTTGTCTTATAGTCTGTTTCCGCTGCGCGTCAGAAACTGACGATCTCTTCCCCATCCATCCCTGACGTCTGGCCTCATTGAGAGCTATCTGTGAGCAAGTTCAATCCTAAAGATCGTTCAAGATAAAAGACTAACGCAAACACAATCTCAAAGGTGAGAAACAAACGAGATAGCATGACAACTCTGATCTGCAAACAACTGAAAATTGTCATGTGATTTCAAAAATTCCATGCATCTATCATTAAGTCACTGCGCTTCGATTTCAACTATACTCAAGTCAATTAAGCATCAAGGTTATATGAAAATATATAAAAATCACCTTAAATTCATCTGTTAACTTCAGAACTCTAAAGGTTGAGGTCTGTGATACCGAGGCGAAGGCATGTATTACGATGTGTTCTACCTGCAACCCAATATATGCATAATCAAAGGAAGGATACCATACTTATCTAAAAATTGAGAAAAGTTCAACAAAAAAAATCAAAATATTCTCTTCAAATTAATATGCTAAATCAAAACTCTGCAGGATGTCCACAACTGGTGCCGAAGATCATGAAAAGTGGCATATCAGAGGCTAACCTCAATAGGATCGAGGAAAAACGACCTTAGTTTGCGAAGGCCCACGTTTCTCTTCTCAGAATCCCACTGAAGCTCTTTGCGGGCTTGCTCCAGCTCTGCTATTGTGTCCTCCTCAAGCCTCCTGCACACTCACATACCCAACGGTATGTGCAGCGGTGTTTCAACATTAGGAGAAGCTTTACTTGTTGTAGGTTTTGTAAACGGTATTCGTAACTTGCACTTACCACTCAAACCCGAAGACATCTCAAAATTAAGAAATTGTAAAGACTTTGTGACATCATAGAATTGCTTGAAAACAGAGGATGCCTAACTGGTGAAGCTACTATAAGGGTTAAAAAACTCTAGTATACCTGTTTGTGATGCCAAACGTGTCCAAAACTCGACACAAAATTTGAATATAGTAGGCGTCGCAGGATTTATAGCTACGTGTTTGCGTAATAAGCTTAAAAAGCTGCATTCTCTAACCGTTCTTGATGCACAATTAGTGTCACTATCTCGCCTTCACTCATAAACAGCCACTGAACATGCAGTTCTAAGAAATGTGCAACAGACTCTTACAAAAATGGGGTAAAAGACCAACTTAAAAAGACGAAAATCGATCACAAAATCCTCCAGCGCTAGTTGCTGGTTGCGTTCTTTTGCTCCGTTTTCCTCTAATAGAACGGCAACCTGATTCCGAATGACTTCTAACTGAGTAATAAGCTTCATCTTTGCCTCCTTCGCTAGCCGGTCTATTTCATCCTGCTCCGCTTTTCGCCTCCATTCTTCAATACTTAGCATGTATCCCGGAACATCCTCGACATCGCCATCAGGAATTGTTGCTGCAACATATCGAATCACACGTCGTAATAGTATGAAGTCTGACATTTTCAGCTTTGGCACCGTTGCTCTCTGCCCGCTACTTCCAGATTTTAAAATCCAGAAATTCCATAAGACTATACCCTGAATCTAGTACCCTATGTGAGTTCTGTCACGCATCGTTTTCTTTTGCTCAATAGAGCAAAGCCAACAGATGTCTTTCTCATAACTTACGAGGAAATGGTTCGGGTGCAGCTGGTTTTTCGTCGATAAAGTGGATCGTGTGTATGAAGAAGCTACCATCCTCCGATACACTTGCCTGAAAATATATAATGCAATCGCGATAAGGATACTAAACTAAGTTATTTATGAAAAGTAGTGCTGGTCGGTTAACAACTCAAATGGTAAAGCGACTGCTGCAGAAACTTCACATGAAAAGAAGGTAATAGTTAGGAAATGTTTTTACCAAATACTGATCATCAAAACTCAGCGCTGCTCCAGTGACGACACCGTAGAAGGCATCATGCAAACCAGCCTGTGAACCCAGTTTATGTTAAGCCTCATGTATTTGTTACATGCGTTTTAACAAGGACTCAATATAGCAAAAGTTGCAAGCCTGAGTCAAGATTCTTCTAGTTACAACTGTTTCAACAATGATTCAGACATGGATGACTTGGGAGCTCATTATGGAATCTCTTATTTCATGTCCATGAGAGTGTCACTGTAGCCGCCATAAACTGGGATACACAGAACAAGCTAATTGCTTGGAAGTGAGAAGCATACTATTAAAAGAGAAAATCTAATTGAATCATCTGTATGCCGTAGTTCGCTCACTACAGTTTTATGATAATAGAAGACATGTAATCCACATCATACCAAGGAGAGGGGTCCTCTTCAAGGAATCATTAAAAAGCAACAGCGCTTACCTCCCAATATTTCGAGTCGTCATCATTTCCCATTAGTTGGCCCGGCAGAGGAGCCATTTGAATACGGACCACACCGTTATCAGAGCCAGACACAAAATATTTCCGCGAGTGCGTCATCCTAAGAACACATACAAGTGTACGAATGTACGATTGCATCAAATATACCTGCTTCTGGAGCCACTTGATACTATTTACGGGGAATCTCGTTAGTAAACTGACCTGATAGTTTTGATTGGTTTTTTACTCCAATGAGTCCAACCCATCACCTCTCCAGCCTCACTGTGGCATTCAAATAGAAAACCAGTTGCCATCCCCTGCAGAAGAGACACGCGGGAAGCACGAAAATATATTACGAATAGTACAATTTAGAAACAATGATAATGCATAGAATTCATCAAGCAGAAAGTTGAATAGATTACAGAAATGGGTTGCACAACATGGAGACCTTAAATTTACGCATAATCACTGAGTAGAATAAAGAGAACGGATGACATGTACGCACCTCGGTCGAAACATAGAAGCTGTTCAAATTGCCGTTGGAGTAAAAAATGGAACGAATTGGATAAGTAGTGCCTGAAGGGTCATCCAATTCAATGGGCTCTGGTGGATGTGTGGGAATCCTTGGAAGGGGCTCAAGTGGAATCTCCAGAGGAACCGCGGGGTCCCCTAGTGATTCCACTTCGGCAGTTGATACCCCGTCCTTGAGAGCTTCGCTTTCTGCACGAGTTTCACCTTTCGCTTCTTCTCCATCCTGCAAACATAGAATATTTTTTCAAGATGCTTCAAGTATGGGGAGCTTTGATAACAGATCGATGGAGGATTCTTTTGCAGCAGAGCGCAGAGCTTACACAAATCCAATTCTGTCAAATAGTAACCGCAAGCTTTCACCCTGTACGTATGGTCAGATAATAACCAAATACTTGCATACAGGGTAAAACTACGTCTTTGAGCACATACATAATTATTGTAAACGCCCATACAGAAACATCGAAGAAATAAAATTATGAATTTGACATTAAATGCATGCAGTTGACATTAAACTATATGAAATTGAATTTGAATACTAATGAAGGCACCCACTCCCTTAGAGGCTGGTGGTGGAGGAGAGGGAGGAGTCCGTGGCCTAGGTGGAATCTTCTTCGGAATTTTCGGACGAATGAAGCTGAGGTCGGTGATGGTCAAATCCTTCAATTCAAATGACTTGGTTGTATCATTATTGGTATCTGCAGCATGGAGAGGTGTGGTTCAGTCAAAAAGATTTGGTTCGTGTCTGAGATAGCCCCGAGATTTCTATAAAATTGAATGAAGTTGTGCACTAGAGGGAACATGCAAAATAATTAATGACTTGTGACCAAACGAATTGTGGCAATTGTAAAAGTTACAAGGTGCCAAAGCACTATACTCTAATTACCAGGTCTGGAAATTTTCTTGATCATTCCATTAGAACAACCAACGAGAAGTATCTGTGAGTTAGGAGACCAATCCAAGCATGTAATTGAACCTGGTACGGTAGTGTACCTGCATGATGATAGTAGGATAATCAGTTTCAAAGCTCAAAGGTATAATTCGTGACAAATTGTTTGGTAACCAGAGTTTAATCGTATTTACAACAGCTTTCTACGATCATTTATTTTCGAGAAAGAACACAAATCGTAATTCGAACTCAAGGGAAAGTCATTCTTAAAGCATAGATCTGCTACTTAACTTGGCAATTGAGCATGATGGGTTGTCAATCAACCTAGCATTAAAAGTATCTCACCCAAGCGGCCGAAATGAATTTGGACAGTGAAAGAAGAAAACACTGCCGTCTAAGGAGGTGCTGGCTAACACTTGTCCGTCACCCGAGCAAGCCAGGCCTGTCACACCCACCTAAATAAACTCTGAGAGCTGTCAGACATAATAGTTACTTCTTGCGTAACACAGACTTTTTGACACCTACAACAATCATGCATGAGGTGAATCAACTTATCACTCTCCTAAAAACAGACTCCAGTCAGTCCATAATTTGAACGTTTTAAAACTAATGTCATTACGATACGACGCTGAAGTAATCACCTAACTATTCTGTTACTGACCTTGTGAGGTTTGACCGCAACAGAGAGCCTCCATTTGTTCTTATTTCGCTGCAAAATTCGAATAATGCCATCCGCAAAACCAACAACTATTGACTGTCCGCAAGGATCCACTACCAAAGGCAGCCATATAATCACAGTGCATGCTACGGTGAATCTTCTTTTAAACTCCTCCGTCCTACTCTTGAAATTGTAAAATCGGACCTGAATGCCCCCGTTGATATACCTATTATCAGGTACTATTCATTGGAAAATTACATGAGAATTGAAAGTATGCATGGTGCGAGAAACTTACTGTGCCATCAGATCCAGCAGATGCCATTTCATGACTAATAGGTGAGCTTACAAGCCCTACAATAGGACCTGCATGAAATTCGAGTAATCTCGTCATTTTGAATGAAGGTAGGTCAGATCTCCATAGTGCTCCACCCTCATCCTGCAAGAACAAAGCCCAATTCAAACGAGCTTAAATCGACATCGCAGCTGACAGAAAATAGACATGGAAAGGTAACAATCCTAAGGGACGCTGTCGAGAACTTACGTTCCAGAGAGCTTGTATGAATCTGAATCTTAAACCTTGTAATTGATCGAATTACAAAAGTATTTAGTGCAGCTAATGCATAGAATCTTGTGCATAAGTTATATCCACAATATATAGAACATCGTGAAGTAGAAGCAAGCGATATTTAGAACCTGTATGATCCAGTGGTCCTTTTCAACAACGATGCCCTTGATACGGCACAGGGGATCCACAAGCACCTCTTTGGTAGGAACAATCTCGCACACAAGTTTGTCATCTCCATCATTTGCTGCTTCCAGCCACTTCCCAGTGCCTCTATGTCCTCAACTCTTATTCATAATTTGGAGAAATTTCAGTAAGAGCAAGACTTTGGATTGAAATGGAAACATGCGCAATTGTTCTTTTTCTTTCACTTTTTTTGTGATGAATAAGTGGAGTCCGACAGGACATGGATTGCATGTTATTTTCACTGTGCAACATGAACATCGTAGGAGCATCGTCTCATAATGAACTCACACTCGCTCCCTTTAAGACCTCCGACAAGCCCACTAGAAGAAAACAGAAGTCTCCAGCATGCACTCTCATCAGCCAAATGCAGACCAAAATGCAGACCTTGACACTACTGACAACAGCAGGGATGGGTTCTGCGGAGCATATATGTTAATCACCTAACCTACATCATCTAAATATCATCTAAGAAATGGGAGATCACGTACGTCAAGGTCCCAGAATCGAATGTATCCATCAGCAGCAGCAGTGATCATGAACCGAGCGTCCTCGTCTAACACCAAATATTCAATCATTCCTTGATGGCAATACACTTCATCTCCACCTGGCCTTTTGAGTTGACATTTGACGAGTGCATCATCCCAAACTAGAACAGTGCCCATTTCTGTACCTGTGACAACCTGCAATGTCCGACAATGATCATCAAAATGTGAGATTACATTTACGAGTTGGCTTTTATTTAGGTACCATTGTCCCTTTTAAGTCCAGCCACACCTACAGAGGACTCCAGATTAGGAACCAGCTGAGATGTCCAGATTGGGACTAGCAGGGGTCTTCGTGTTATGTTCTGGAGCATTCATCCAAACCGAATTGATCACAAAAGAACCCATTACCTTGCTGTTTCGCAACTCGAAGTAAGCTGCAATGTCACTGATTGGGACTGTTCCGAATTTCGCTATGGCACCCTGTTTAGAAGTAGCACAGGGAAGAATCACCACAAAGCACCCACTTTCTGATGTAGACATCACACCTTGGAGCTATCCAGACAAATATAGAACAAAATTAGAAGCTTGAAATGGCCACAACTTACCTCTAACTTCAAGCCAGTGAAAGTAGATGCCATCTTCCAGAATCGGGCATGCCCCACTCCTGATGTCAAAAGCTGCCCCTTAAAGTATCTTGAGAAGTCAACCTGAACCAGCAAGCGAAAAATCCACCCTTCAATTCATACAGTTCATAGTACTTTCTCTTGATGCTGTACAAGACTCAAACAGAGTTCAAACTTAGTTTGAAACGAACATTTTACAAGAGGTTTATAAAAATTATTGAAAAGGCAGTGTATAGCATGAAGACTGGATTTTTAAAATATCAATGTAATAATAATAAAAGAATTGTAAAGAAATAGCTGGCATGACTCTCATCATGCAATCCAAAACACAGGAAATTCAGAAATGTAAAACTATCATCTTACTTTAAAGACTTCTTGTGAAAATGCCTTCGATCGTAAAATCATCAACTCGTTCTCCCAATCCCAAACCGTGAGCAGATAATCTGGGTGAGCTCCCACCTACATTATTGATCTCAGCGTCCAGAATAATAGCATGCGCAGTAATTTGGTGCAAAATACGAATTTTCATGCCGTCAAAAATGTTGCAATTTTTTCCCATTACACACATTTCATCAACATGAAGCTTTCATGAATGATTCTACCAACAAGTAAATATAGAAAAGAGTGAATAATGGCACTCGAAACGTACTGTGGCCAATTGGGTACCATCGAAATTAAAACTGGCTCCTGAAAAATATCGTTCTGTTCCGTCAACCAGCGTCTGCAATCAGTCAAACCTTCTGTTAGTTGCAATTACAATGAGAGAAAATCGCCCCACCTCAAGTGCAGTATACCTAAGAGTTGTTTGAGTGTCTCCAGGAGTGCTGCAATTGTTGTGCGATTTCAAATGGTAGATGTATCATCAGAAGGCATTGCTGATAATAAGAAACTAAGCTGAACTACTGCAAACATGTCAACAGAGAGGAATGCAAAGTTACCTCACATCGATAAATATTGGTAGCTGTTTAATCCAAGTACGACATTCAGTGAGGGACGCGTATTTGAACTAACAGCAATACTGGGCAAATAAAGTGGCAGGAATAGAGATAATCAGAAACTTAAGACACATGCACATTTGTGGGATGAGGGAGAGGGAATACCTTGTAAAGCTCCATAGAAGGATATGCATAGATGTATATGTTTGGCGAGACGCCCTTCTCACAAACGCAGAAGTGTGTTCTCTTTGGATGGACTGCCACGCATCCGATTCCATTCCCCTCCACACTCTGTGGCCATTGGAGGTTAAATCTATAACATGCCAAACTAGTCTAGACGAGATTCGGTAATAGGAATGTGCTCTACGAAGAATAACGATAGTTGAAGCAAAGACCAAAAATTTCTGCAAAACCCTACTATGCCTATGGTAAAATGTCACATCAGTTTCCAAAGTCGGGGTGACAAGCGGAGGAACAACCAGCAAACAACGACAGTTTGGTTGTGAGGTCCTCACAGTGACAAACGTCATCCCAAAGTATAAACAAACGAATTTTCACCATAGAAACGACATTAGACGTCTTCATACCAAGCTGGAAAGCATTCAGAAACTGTTGTAAAATCTTATATGAGAGAATTATCATGAAAAGTAGAGAATTGCAAAATTGTAATCCTACTACATCCAAGACTTGCTAGAGAGAAGGTACAGTCATAGCCAGCAAGAACTGTTAGAAAGTATTTGTGCGCAAGTTGATAGCAGGAGAAGTTGGGTCAGAACATACATGCTGGAACATGTATGTCATGGTTTTTAGATCCAGAAAGTGGACAATATCGCCACAAGAATGAATAAGAATTCCAGGAGCAATGTACATCACATTATTTCTCCTGCTTCCCTGCGATCAAATAATACAAGATTTCCAGAAATACAATACAGATCAAGACGTTGGTATGAATGTATGGTGAGTAATCTAATAAGTTAGCCTGCAAGCGTTAGGGACACAAATTTGAAAACCAAGACTCTCCATGACCATTTATAGTTACAAACGAAAATCCTTGAATGTCTCATAATAGTCATGAACAAGATAACGATGATCATCGAGGCATGGACGCTGAACACTAAGTATGCAAACTTGGAATTCAACGGCAAAAAGAACAGAGACAAACGTCAAGGCCGAAAGATGCGATCAGTTTCACAGATTCTCTCGGCCATGCCCGCGCTTCTGCAGAAGTCGGATCCAGAGGGACGCCAGGGGATTCGGGGTCTGCCATCTTGATTATCAAATCTTATTCAAAAATACCTGCTTCGTGAAGAAATTATAAAAGTTACTCCATTCGAATCAAGAATCAAGAACGATGGAGAAAAAGGTATATTATTCTTACTTCTCAAAAAAAAAAAGTCAAACTTTCCAGTGATATGGTTCCAGACAAGCACCCTATGCAGCAGGGTGAGACACGCACGAATTATTGCACTTCATGAACCAAAACACTTGGCGTGAGTGTTCTCTCTTAAATTCCTCAGCAATCTGTGAAACATCTGAAAATTTCCATCAAGACAATTTAAGAGACAATTTAAGAGGTCGCAGTCAGCGCTTGGAATTAGGTCATGCCACAGGCAAAATGATTGTTCAGGTTTTCCTCAACAGCTTATCAACAAAGGAAAAAGATAAGTACAAAAATACATATAATTACATATTATTACTGTCATCGACAAGTACCCAGGAGTACTTTGAAGTGAAGAATTAGTGCAACAACAGCTAAAAGCCTGGATGAGAGGAATGCGAAATCACAAAATCGAATGTCCAAATTTTATTCGAGATGAAATAGATCTTACGCGAACAAAAGGACAATCAACCCCCCTTCCAGACTTCTGTAGCTTCAGCACAAAATCTTGCATTAGGTGTCCCAAATCGTCGGCCTGCGGATGCTCTAGTTCAGATTCTTCAACTTGATGTTACATATGAACCGATTCCCACGAAATATGAGAATAGCAGAGTAGTTGGAAATCGGCAACCCTATTTTGCAGTTGAACTCTCTTTCTCTCTACCGGCATGGTGGAAAAAATAGCCATGATTGACATGAAACAGACCATGCTTAACAAAACTTGGTGCACTTGACAGCCGTAGTTTCCAACCGACACAGTCAAGTGCTTGGGAGGCACCACACTAGTTGGATTCGCCAATTCGAAAGCAACCAATGACATCCTGAGTCCGGCTGGTTCACATGACTTGTTTGGTACCATGCACATTAATTCAATATTCTGGATGAAAGTAGAAGATTGCTAACAGTCCTGTCAAGTCATGCAAAAAAAACACAAGCATGAAGACCAAAGCAATTTGTTTCATTGTAAAGTTTCCTGAACTTTGAGACGACAGTGAATCACGCTGAGCAGAACCGCCCTCAGAACCTGGACATCACAACAACTCCAGTCGACACCGGGTTTGTCTATAAGCAATTTCACAGCCATAAGATCCCCGGAATTGATTCCATTGCAGAGAGTTGCAAATTCTTTATCATTCAGGTCCGGTAGTGCCGATCCGCGCTGTGCATTCGACATCTGAATAACATTCGAATCCAAATTTTCTCTTCTCTTGCCCTTCGCGAAGCAGTCCTGATAAACCACACGCATAATCTCTACAGAACCTAACCTGGAATTCAACAACGGCTACAATCCCTCTAACATCGATTTCCGCAATCGAATGTAGACAAGTAAATCTAAAGAAGTATCATCCTTGTTCAGAATGGCAATTGACGTGAATGTGAGAATGATCCCGGAGAGTCTGAAGAAGAAGAGCCGCACCTTATTACGATCAATTCGACTACTCCGAGCGAAGCCATGAGATCTCTGGCCACTGTTTTTGCGACGCGGAGCTCAATGCAACCTCAACCCCCTCTTCAATAATATTACTAACTACTACACAACGCTGATGGTATCCCATGGAACTGCTGCAAAAACATCTCTCTACTATGGTTGTAGCGTATTTCACTTGCCTTTATTCTAACTAATGGAATTGAAAGATATTGTGCCAAAATAATTGGACAGTGATTATGTTCTTTGCTTCAGTTTTTCTAGGGAGAAAACTATTTTGATTTGTTGCATATGGTAAAATGAAATTGACTAATTCTATTGTATAGTCGTAGATGTAATATTTTTATGTTATATATTTGGCAACTTTAAGCAATAGTTAATCATAAATAATTTTAGGTAATACAAAAACATATTCTTTGCTTATTCGTTTTTGTCTATGTCTATGGGATTGATTAGTAAAAATTTGGGTAATATTTTTTTTTCATCTAACAAAGATGTTATTAAAAAGAAGAGAGTCTTAATTAATTGATAGTTAATTAACAAAAAGAAGGTTAAGTTGGGATTTTATTTTGTGTTGTTGTATATATTTCAATACTTAAATTGATACCAAAAGAAAATAATTACATCTATTGCCTTCTAACAACTATTACCAAAAGAAAAAACTATTCACATCTATGATGCTATGAGTATGATTATTAAGTCTTTTGGATCAATATCATTAATATTATTATGAAACTTTATAAATATATATATATATATATATATATATATATATATACCATTGTTTCATTTTTATAAAATTTTAATCCTTTTTTGTAATACTTTTGAAATTTTGAGTTAAATATACAAATAGTATTGTATGCTAATATATCATCTTTTAATAGAATTAGCAGTATGTTATTGACATAATGGAATGTAATCTATTGTTTTCCTTGCATTAAAAGATTTATTTTTTAAACAAGTTTTTGTTCCACTTCTTTGATAATAATTTCATTCTATATATTTGCAATAATAAAGAAGAAATAGGATGACATGTAAACAATCCTAATAGACATCTTATTTAATTAGAAATGATTTAAAAAGAACTTTTTTAATTTTTATGCATGTTCTTGCATCCTTAAATATAGCATAAATAACTTGTACAAAATAAGGAAGAAATCCAATTACTTATAAGGAGGTCAAAAAAAATATAAATATATTTTGTATAATAAATTTTCATAAATTTTAAAACTAAATCAATATGTAAATTTTAAAAATATATTAATATAAAAATATAAAAATATAAAATAATATAAAAATAACTTGGATTGATTAATAAATTTATTTTTTTCTTAAGTAAGCATGAAATTGATTAAAATAAAATAAATTGGTAGAAAAGTAAAATAGTTTAGATCACTCAATTCTATAAAGTTTGTTATAATCAAAATTTTAAATTCTAGTATGAATTATATTTATAAGTATAAATATTAAAAATATATTTATTAAGCCTTTCATGAATAAAATCCAAATATTATGTTTAAAAAGAATAGATTTCTTCACTTATTTATTTATATATTTATTTATATAAATATAATTTCTTGTGTATTACTTAGCTTTATATCATTCATTTTTATTTAGCTCATTTATTTATTTATTCATAAATAACTTGTATTATGTCTTGTGTATTACTTAGCTTTATATCATTCATTTTTATTTAGCTCATTTATTAAAAGTTTACTTCTTTATTCAATCTTTGTTGTCTTTAAAACAAATAGATTCCAAAATAACTTAGTGAAATCCATTTGATTGTATACGTTGGAAAATGTCCTTATGTTTAATGCAAATAACTTGAGTTTATAAGTTTTAAGGAATTTCTTTAATTACTTAGTAGTAACATTCTTTTATTTTAATTTATTTAAAACCATTTTTTCTTCCACTTGAAATTTATTAGTTTTTTACAATGTATTGGTGTGTATTGCAACATGATCATAAAATTTAAGATTTTTTGGATTAGCTTAGATATTAATGGTAGGAAATTTCAGCTACCTTAGGCCTTTTTAATTCTTGCCAATAATATTTTTTATTTATTTGAAGCAAAATTCCACATAAAATTTAGTATATAAATATAATTTTAAAAAACATAACAAGTTGGCATGTTTAGCACATATTTTTTTAATGGTTTAATTTGCTAATTTATCTGTGAGATGCCACTTATATATTACAACAAGAATTATATTTTGGAAAAAATATATATTTAATTAATTAAAATAAATAAAAGAAAAAATATATATATATATATATATATATTGTTTTGAGATTATAAAAGTTTGTAATTTATCTAAAAAATAATTATAACTTTCTTTTTTATTTTTTATTTTTATTTTTTAAAAATTATGAACTTTATCTTCAATAATGATGTACTTTTATTTTTTAAATAGTATTTTTAATAATGCTCACTAATTTTTATATTTTCTTTTATTATATTTGTAATATATATATTAAAATATAATAACAATTTTTTTTGGAAGTCCAACAAGATGGCTTAATTGTATTTGTTTAGAAGATGGTCTTATATTTTTTATACTAATAATCTAAATTTGGTATAATCTATAGTATTATACTTTATTTTTTATTATTAAAACTAATAGTTTTAGAATTATAAAGAATAAAATCATCATTTCAAATTTTAGTTCTAACTTACTCCAAAAACAAAATCTTACATGGTGCTCTTTGAGACATAAGGTGTTTATATTAAAGATATAATTTTTAAAGTAATTTGTTATAATTATTTAGATTTTAAATATTTAGCATGATATCATCTTATTATCAGATATATTTGGAAGAAAATTTTATAAACTATATATGAATTTAACCTCATTATCCCTACTCACATTGTACAAATTTTTGTAGTAACAATATTGTCAAAAGATTGCTTAGAAGTTTAATAATGTTTAGTTATTGTTGTGACCAAATGGCACCATCAAAGATCTAGAGGTAATTTTAATTACTAACTATAATTAAGAATTAATTAGCTCTAACTTAGTATCTTTAGCTACCATTAGGTAATGTTGTGAAGTTACATCCAAAGTACAATGTAGTTGCATTCATGCAATAGATTGGACTGTATTAATAATGAGCTTGGTTGTAAATGTATGTGTGCTCATGATAAGGCCACCATGTGTGGGTGTCTAATAGAGTGTAATATTGAACTTGTCCTCAAGAAACAAATAAATCCATGTTGATAGCATACCAACATTTGTTGTCTCTACAACAACTACTAGCATCTCATAGTTAGTCTATTTTAATAGTCAAGTTTGTACAACAAAAAAATAGTATTAGTTTTCTTTGCAACCTTCACTTCATTATTAAAAACACTTGGAACTGAGCTGCTACACTTAACACAATTTTGTGTCAACACTTGGTTTAGATTATTAGAATGAACTCAAAGTGCAACTCATTCAAACTCCTTTATGAAAACTTCATTAGTTAGAATTATTTGTCTTTTCAATGCAAATAGTTAAAAATTAATTTCAATGTTTAAGGATTATTTGTTAAGTTTTTGGATTGTATCAAAAGGGTGTAGTTTTATATTGTAATCACATGTATGATTTGAAAATATTCAAAAAAAAAAATTCAGGAATTCAACATTCGTTAAAAGCAGTTTTTTGAAAAATCTTTGCAATGTCAAACGAAAACAAATAATTTATCAAATCTTGGAGAAAAGACAAATTTTTAGTAAAAATAATAACGATCATCATCATAATCATCATTTTACGAACTGACAAGGAGTGTATTGAACTGTTCATTTTTTATATATTTCAAAAAAGAATTAAAGTTTCACCAAGTTGGCATGTAAATTTCTGATGGCAAGAATTTCCATTCAAGTGAACAAAATGGGAAGTGCATGCAAATCATTCACGACACTTCACAAGCTAATCCAGAATCGCCATGCTCCAATCTACCATTGCACCGGATGTACATTTTTGTGTAAGAAAAAAACACAAACAAGCAAACAAAATATCTATATATATATATATATATAAACACACACACACAGTATCGCAGGAACCAAGCTTGGATTGGTTTGGTTTGGCTTGGCTGTCTCTCCCTCACCCTCCTCGTCGGCTTTGGCCTCAACTCCTCGTCGACGTCGAGGCTTTTCAGGTGTGCTTCTGGTGTCCTATTTCTATGGCGTTGTTCCAGGTGGGGTTGTTGGGAAATTCATGATGTCCCTTCGCTGCTCTCATCTACACGAACATTAATAGCCTCTCACCATGGCGACAGCCTTTGAGGCTGTGAGGCTGTACCTCAAAGTTTGCTTTCAAGGTCTAGCTATATCAGGAGTTTTCCTCGGTGGGTGCAGCGCAGCAGGTTTTGAACGAAGCTTCTTTACAACTGAACTGCGACGATTCACACAACCTGTCATCACGTCTCCAGGTTCGTGCATCTGGGAACAGTTCTCATGCGATCTTGCATATTCGATGCAGGTGTTTTGATTTCGTGCGCGTATCTTTGGATGTATGATTAGGGAACTTTGCGATCGCTGATCGTTTATTGTTATACGTAATGAGGAATGTTGGTTATTCTTGGGTTTATTTAGAGAGGGAATGCAAACTACCCCTTGAGGATTCAAAAATTGATTCTCGAATTGCGTGGGCCAAGGCCCTTGCAACAATACCAGTTGACGCACCCGGAAGTAGATACGAGGGTTTCGACTCTAATTGGGGTAATAATCAGGTGATCTGCACCCGTCATCGTAGATCCATTAGATGGCATGCGCACAAGCGCAGGCCAGGGTAAAGCCGATCCCAGCAAAATTGGGTTGTATTATATTCTTCGTCAGTCTGTGTCGTGTCTGGCTGTGATTTATTAATTCTGTCTAGGCCAACTCTGTGTACTGACCCCTTGCAATGAAAGTTATTCTCATTAGTGTTACAAAAAAAAACAAAACAAAACAAAACAAAAAAAAAGAAAAAAAAAAAGAAAAGAAAAACTGATTCTCGTAGCAGCTACCTCGCAACTGCATGGTCCACTCTTTTGCTCGGTGAGGGTTTGCACACGTACCACTGCCCCCAATAAAAGTGATGAGGCTACATTGGCTGAGTAGGAATGGCTGTTCCGCTTACACCGATATTTTTTTTTGCATGCTGAAAAGAAGTCTTTCTGCATGCAAAAACACGAAAAGGAAAATCTCTTGAGGTGGGCGGAAACTGCGAATGTTCTTATCTCCGCAGAATTTGTCGAGGCATCCTTCCTTCCGTTGACCACGAAAACACGATGGGGTCGCAATTTCAGACAGGACCCAGTTCGTGAAAACCCGTCGTTTCTTGTACCATGATCAACTCTATCAATGCATTGGGTACAGTTCCGTTAAAGATGTCTGGGCTTGAGTGAATTTTTAACTGTATACTCTACAGATCCCCACGTTGCAATTTGTCATATAGTACGAGTCACAGCGGTTCCAATAATGAACGTCCTCAAGACAGAAGCCACCTTATTACGAATCAGTTTCCGAGCGGTTCTGACTCCTAAAATTTTGCTATCCACGACCTATGGCACTCTGCTATCTACATTCCATAGCCTACTGCTGTTCAATTAATTATTATTGGCTAGAGACCCGTAGTAAGGAAACGGCATCAAAGTTATTGTTATTCGGGCATTATCTTGGCAAATCACTATCTGATTTGGATTGCAGTCCAATTGAACCATTAGTAATGAAATTTAATATACTCACAAGGTTAAAATTGTCATTACAGTAAGGTGGAGATTGTTTAATATCTTCCTTCTGCAAGCTTGTTATTTTTGTGTATTTTCCTGCTCATAAGTAGATATGAAGTTACTTAATTTTATGAGGGGCACGTAAAGATCTTGATGCAATTCCTGGATAGAGGCTCTGCAAACGACATAACGTGGTGATTTGTGATGTAAGAATAAGAAAAAAAGAGGGATGTTTTTTGTAATAAGGAGGAACTACAGTTCGAATGGTGGGTAAGAGTGAGCTTGTTGTTGTAAGCAATCCGACGGGGGTACCCGTTGTTCTTTCTTCTTGAATGACATTTTATGGGAGGTTTGAAAGTTCTACATCAATAATTTATTTATTTTAATTTGAAGTTGATGAAGTTATCTGTGACAAAAACAGTGCACTATGAATGATAACTCACAACTACTCCCAACACGGGAGGATCATGAACATGACGGTGTTTGTCTGGTCTTTTCGGGAGAGTCTCCGGAAGAGAGGAAGTTAAACAAGCTTCAACTGATACGCATTTATTTTTTCCTGATTATTCGATCTTAAATTGATGCGCACAATGAAACAAATTTAACTAGGTATTCATTACTCCCAAGGAATTTAACCTGGAACTTTACTATTCTATTTCCAAGCTGTAAGATCTATGCCACAAGCAAATTCGTGCAGAGCTTCAATCCTTACAAGCAACCGTGGATGACACAATAAAGGATCAGCATTTCCTGACGCTGCAGATTTGTTCCAAGTTCGTCGTCAACAAGTTGCATTCAGTATTTCAATGATAAGATGATGTATTTACCGTTATCTTATAAAAGCACTTCCTGGGATCCTGCGCAAAGAACGTACGCGAGAGAATTGCTGCTATAGCAGTATCAACGTCGATTCATGTTTATTCATAGCAGTATGAAAGCATGCAGTGCGTCGCCAACGGAGTCGGTTCTTCTGTTTTCGCCACTCACGCAATCCATGTGAACCAATTTCATTTTGGAACTTGTGCGAGGGCATCATGTCTCTGGTATAAAAAGTACCTGCTCCACGTAATTTTCCAGTGGAGTGGAGGTCCCTCCAGGTCTGCTCATTTGTGTGAGCGCAATTTTAGGTTTAATAAATTGATGACAACCAAAGGCTCTCCAACTCGTAGATTGAAAGTCAACCTTGTTGTTCTGTACTAGACAAGTGATAGCTGAAACTGAAGTTGGCATTTGCGGTGGTTCCTCAGAACCGATTTACTGGTAGCAACATAGAAAGAGACGATTACACACATTGTTGATCCAGCGAGTGAAGAGAGTCCGGCGGAACAATGACTCGGTCTTACGGGCGCGTTGTTTTTCGCTTTGTTGCGGCTGTTGCAGTGATACTGGAATGGTTTTTTTCGTTTGATCTCGTCATCGCACAGGATGGTTCGTGGAAGACTCTCGTACCAGACGCAGGCATTTCGTCAATGCACACTGCTATCACCCGATACGACACAGTTGTCCTGCTAGACCGAACAAACATAGGACCGTCACGACTGCTTCTGCCGAACGGGAGATGTCGAACTCAACCTTTGGAGCGGATTTCTAAAACCGACTGCTATGCCCACTCTGCGATGTTCGATTCGAATTTGAACACCGTGCGTCCGCTGTATATTTTCACCGACACATGGTGTTCGTCCGGGCAATTCATTTGGGACGGAACCCTGGTCCAAACAGGAGGTGATTTCGAGGGAACCAAAAAAATACGTCGGCTCGTCCCTTGCCAAGCTACCGGGACGTGCGACTGGGTAGAAAGTACAACCGAGGAACTGACTGTCGGTCGTTGGTATTCCTCAAATCAACTGCTACCCGATGGAAAGACCATGATTGTTGTTGGTGGTCGCAATGCTCCCACCTACGAATTCGTTCCAAAGAGGTCTCCAGGAGAGGGTGTGTTTCCCTTGGATCTTCTTGGAAACCCAGGCTACGACAACTTGTATCCATACGTCAAACTCATTCCAGATGGCAACTTGTTCATATTTGCAACGAAAGACTCGATTCTTCTCAATCCCACGACTGGTGCCGTTCTGCGAAAGTATCCCACACTTGTCGGGAACAGTCGCAACTACCCAGCAGCGGGTTCTGCAGTGCTGCTGCCTCTCTCTCATGAAAACGGGTTTCAAATCGCTGAGGTGCTTGTCTGCGGAGGCGCTACAATGACGTGGAGTACTACAGCGCCAGCTTCGAAGAGCTGCGGAAGGATGGAAGTCACTTCCCCCACACCGCAGTGGTTGATGGAGGACATGCCCGTCGGGCGTACTATGGGTGACATGATCCTCCTGCCCACCGGCGATGTCTTGATCATCAACGGAGCTAAGGCAGGTGCTCAAGGATGGGGAATAGCTAGAGACCCTGCGTTCCAACCGTGTCTATACGCCGCGGACGACCCAGCCAACAGATTCCAATTGCTCGCCCCGACAACTGTTCCAAGAGTGTACCACAGCACCGCGAACTTGTTATCCGATGGCCGAATTCTGCTTGCGGGCAGCAACACCCACCAGTTCTACACTTACAATGATACACTCTTCCCCACCGAGCTGAGCTTGGAGGCCTTTTCACCTCCTTATCTGAATATCATGTAAGCTATGCGATTGTCTCATCCCTACACTCTACCACCCATCTTAGCATTTCATGCGTAACTCCTTCTGAATTGTCGGTGTTGACAAACACGAAATGATTAGGAACAGTTTTATCTTGTGAATACTAAGCACCCGGTCGTTGTGACTGCTCCCGGTGCAGTTTTGACAGCAAGAGACCGACGATCATTGGGTGGCCGAAAGTGATGACCTACGGATCCGATTACCTCGTCACATTCACCGTCCCTTATACCAAGCAGCCCAGGGAGAGATCTGGCAGAAACCAGTGGCAGGACCTAGTGGAGGCAAAGCTCAGCAGCGCCCCATTCGCCACTCATTCATACGCAATGGGACAACGGCAGCTGAAGCTGAAGACTGTCCCGCTAGAACGCCAAAAGTCGACGAGTCGGGATATTGCGGTGACAGCGCCTCCGAACAGCAACGTCGCACCTCCGCAGTACTACATGTTCTTCATTGTAAACGGTGGCATTCCTGGCAAGGCCCGATGGGTTCAAATCCGCACATGATACTGACCCACACCATGCTCTGCTTGCATTATTGCATTCCTCACCCACATCTGATAGTTGTAACTGATACCATCCGCGCTTCCTCTAGAGGATGCTGATTCATCGATATCGACCGGTTAACCTGTGCATGCTTAGGGTTCAGGGTTTAGCTAGCGGTGTTAGTTAGATTGATCGGCGACCGCTATCGCTCATGAGACTAGTATCTGGTCCCCCCGCACATTGCCGAGGACGGTGGTGCTGTCGATATTCTGACACCTGACCATGCCCAGGCTGGCTTTATGTTTCAAGGTTGCCACACATTTCTTCTCCAAACATTGCCTCGAGGATAAACACACCTCACCATTCATTGTCGTTGTTTTTGCTTCTTGTTCCGCCGAACTAGCAACTGACAACCGATTCTTTTCTTGTTCGTCTTCTCCACTGCGTATTTTTTGGCTTGAGCCTACTGATGGACAATTTTAGAGCACAGTGTGACAGAAGAATAAGTTTGTACTTGAGACGTACACATTTGGAAGTGTGTTTTCAATACTGTAGGATTGGAGAGTATTACTGTTGACTCCTGTCTGCTGAATATCATGGATGTTGTAAAAGAAAGAAATGGCCTTTTATTTTGTTGTTGTGTCATGAAAGAGAATCCTCGTTGTTTTGAAGGAAATGATATTTATCGAAAGTGTCAGTGTTTGATGAGTAAAATTATAGCTGTGTAATTATAATTTTCAAAGTAAGCATTCATAGCATAAATTATTTTGTGAAACTTCTATGTTCCAGAGAGGATATATTTGATTATATCTCAATTATATGTAGCAACACTGTAGCTGCAACATTTTTTTCACACTTATGAAATATATATCGACCCGAAATATATAAATGTATAGATATATATATATATATATATATATATATATACACACATCTTTACCATGCATTTCATACTAATGGCCAACATGCTTCTGAAAATTTTCCCTCTTTCAAAAATATTCAATTAACATTCTGCCATTATTCCTTATTGGGATGTATCTTGTTCATTTTCATAAACTCGAGCTGTCACTAGCTTACATTAATAACACTTTCAATATACCAGCTACTATACATCAAATGGCGACGTTTTTACACGCCGGGGCGTGAGCTGAAAACATGTTAACAGTAGGCCATTCAGTTGCTCTATGATTTTAAAAGAAGAAAAGAAAAAAGGAAAAAATACACTTCAAAATAGTAGTGTGAGTAGCATTTCTTAAAAACCATTGTGCTCACTTTTCAGATTATCGCATTTCTTTGCAAGAATTGAGAATCATCGTAAATTTACCCTAAGTCTTGAATCTTAATTTCCTTTTGTATTTCTTGTATTATCTTTTACAAGTGTGTTTATTACTATCCATCAAAAAGAATTTCAGGTGTAAAATTTAATTTTCTAACTTCTTCAAATAAAATAATGTGAAATCTCTTCTTTGTCTTTTTTTTTTTTTTTTTTTAATTTAATTTTTAATTTAATTTTCTTTTTTAACAAATATATGTAATGTTTTTGTAATCAATATACATTTTAAGTTATTGCACATCATTTTTGTATCTTTGTTTCAAAAACATCTTATATCTTTGATAAATTGATAGAGGCAAATTAACTCTTTTGTTTAATAATTTGTGACAATAGATTATGAATCTAGAAAAAAAATGATTGCTATTCAACTTACAAACAAGATTTCATTGATTCTTTTGCACAAATCTAGTTAGTTGGTCAATTATTTTTTAATTTTTAAAATTTAAATATTAATTTATTTAAAAAATATAAATATAATAATATTTGAATTGCAAATACTCAATAATAGTTGGTACATATAGTCATAGATTCAACTAAAGTATTGAAATCAAATTCAAGCACTTATAATTATTTTTTAGATGATAATCTTATTATATAATGCACTACTTTAAAAAAACCATATTTTTTGTTTAAAATTTCTATATGATTAAATAAGTGTATAATATTTAAACATATAAGAGTTAATATCTAAGAAATATTTTTTGATTAGAATTTTTATTTTATATGATTTACTTTCTTATATTAAAAATTATAATTGCAATGCCTAATATTTGATTAATGGATTTTTTTACCTTGCTACACTTGTATCTTTCTTGTCTTTTTAATTTTAATATAACTTATCTTACATTATTTTTAATTTTTGATGCTCTTTTGAATGAATAATGTCATTATTTTGGTTTCTTAATAATAACAAAATAAAACTATTATACACTTAATATTTATTTTTTTGTATTTAAATTATTTTTTGATATATATATATTTTTCTAAATTATAATTATTATTCTTATTATCCTTTTGTCCTTATGCTTAAGTCTTTATAAAATAATACTAAAAAATAAATAAACAAAACAAAACAAAACAAATTAACCAAACTTACATCATAGCTATAGATGATATTTATGGTGTTTACACACAACAATCTAAATGCTTTGGTGATTTAATAAAATATTCAAAATAATTATTCAAAAAATATGATTTAACTTAGTGTAGTGAAAGTCTATTATTTTAGTATATATTTTGCATTTAAACATCTTCAATTGTAAAAGATTTGTCTTCACTTAGATTTTGTTTCTTATTTTTGATAGATTTTACACTCTTAGAGAAGATATAAAAAAATAAAACTAGCATCCTATAGGATATCTATTTTTTTATTTAAATTTTTTGGATGTAAAATATATTCCTTGTTTTTTTAATAATAATATAACTAAAAAGTACTACTATTTTTTTGTAATGTATGACATTTATTTTTTTATGCACATTAGTTTGATGCATATTGGTTTTGTTTGTTTGTTGGTTATTGGCAATGTATATGTATATATATATATATATATAAAAATTATGCATATATATTTTTTAAATTAATAGAATATTATTATTATTAGTTATTATTTTTAGAATATTTTTATAATTATATCTTTAGTATCTTTATAACATTGAATTCATTATTAAAACATATCAATAACATTTTTTGTCAAAAATTAATAATAAATTAAAAAAAGAAATACATGCTTCAAGTAAGAATTGTCTTTATAGAGCAACACATATTACAATGCATTATTTCTACTAAGTATGAGTTACAATTGCAACCATATATCAAAAAAACAAATAATCTAGCTTTTTTACTAATTTTTGTAATATAAATAATTAAAAATTTGAAATATCTAGTAAAATCTTTCATTTTATTAATGAAATTAGGTAATTAATTATGGATAATGATATTTTGGTACTCTCAATCTAAATCCCTAGTGTATTGTTCTTTTAAATGCTACTATGAATTTGTTTTTAATTTGAGAAGTTCATAGGTTGAATTCCTACCTACTTGATTGTGAAAAACCTTTAGTAAAATATCTAAGAAGAATATTAAAATATTTGTGCTCTTAATTATTTTTTAAATTTTGTAATAGAAAATCAGAAATATTCTTTAAAATATGTATTATATAATTTTTGTAATAAATATTTTAGTTTTTTTATTAGAAATACATATATTATCAAAATTATAAAACTATTTTAAATTATTTTTATATTAATTATAATATTATAAATATAAGATCATTAAAAAAATTAAATGATCAACTTTAATCATTGATTATTGTAATCTTATTATAAGATTAAATCATTTAAATAAAAAAAATCTTCATAGATGATTGCTACAAGGTTCTACAAAAATTCAAATCTAAGTTTGTCAAAGCATTTAAGATTTTCAAAGATATTATTTAGCCACTTTTAACCTCTATTATTAATATGTTATAATTTTAGTACTATTCTAAAGTAAAAAAACATGTTATTAACTAATCATATTTAATAATGCTATTAGGCTTTTACAATGTCAAAAATCCAAAGTCATCAAACCTATTTAATAAAAATCTCAATTTATATCTACTAAAAGCTTGTGTAATATTTCAAATACAATGTAGTAAAACAAATAAATTAAAAAATCTCAATTGCTAACTATTATATGATCTACATTCTTTTCTAACAACTAATTAAAGTTTGTGCAAAAATTCAAAGCTAAGATTGCTAAAAAATTTAAGTAGTCAATTTAAATTAATAAATAATAAAAGCTTATTAAAAATTTAAATTTTAAGTTATCAAAATATTTAATTGCTTAATCTTTGTTGAAAAATAATTTAAACTTATATATATTAATAAATTTAAAATTATAAAATCTTTTTGGTTACTAATCTTAATTGCTAATTATTTTATGTTTTTACAATCTAAGGTTGTTAAAGCTTTTAAATTACTAATCTTAATAAACTACTATTTACAACTTAAACTTTAAAAAAAATTTAAGGTTTTCAAAGCTTTTAAGTCGATAATCTTGATTAGTAATTGTTATAATCTTATACAATATAACAATTTATCAACAATATGAATCTCGAAGAAAGAAATCCTCAATACACTCTTGTGTCACTTAAAAGAATTAGAAAGTCACTCAAAGATGATATAGTATTAAATTAGAATGGCTTTTTCCAAAGACACGAAGATTAGAAAGTCTTGAAAAAAGACTAAGGACTAGAAAGGTATTGACAAGAGTGAAGAAGGCTTCACTCTTGCCTTCGTATATACTCTCTAATTATGGTCTATGTGGTGATCTTCTATAGGACCTCCAACATATATTGACTTTGCTAGACACATGTCTTAACTTGCAAGGCAAGTTATCTATATATGCACCACATAATTAACTTGTTTTACAAGCTATCAACACAGGTCATATGTGATTAACTTGTTGACCAAGTTTCTAACCTACTAATCAACCATAAACAAGTGATTATTACAAGGTTAAATATTATAACAAATCTAAGTTTGTCAAAGGTTTTAAATTACTCATTTTAATTAGTAATTGCTCTAAATTACTACAATATGATAAATTGAAGTCATTTAAGTAATTATGCTATCAATTTCAATTACTAACAGTTGTAAGTTACATAAATATAAAAAATATAAGATTTTTAAATCTTTCAAGCCACCAATTTTAATTAATAACTCCTACTATTATGTATAATTTGGTAAATCTAAGATTATCAAAGCTTTTAAGCCACAAATCTTAGACAATAATTGCTTAAAGCTTCAATAGCTTAAAGGTTATTAAATCTTTTAATCTATGAGTGCCAAGTAATAATTCTTAAAATTTACTATAACATAACAAATTGAAGGTTGTCAAAGCTTCTAAACTATCAATTTCAACTAATAACTATTGCAAGTTTAGATAATTTATTGTTTGAAAGGTTATCAAAGCTTTTTAGCTATCAATTTCAATTAATAATTGTTTTAAGTTTTTACAATATGACATATCCAAGTTTTTTAAAACTTTTAATCTACTAATCTAAATTGGTAATTATTCTAAGTTACTACAACATTATAAATTTAATAATAGTATAGTTTTAAAGCTACTTATTTTATATATAATTATTATAATATTATAAATTATTTTATTATAATATTATTATAAGATAAAATATATATAACTTATATTTTAAAAGATATAATTAAAAGATAGAAAGATAATAAACACATTTAAAGACGAT